CAATCGGTATATGCCCTCCCAGTCATGCCCTGACCTCTGTGGCGAGTGTCCCAGTCGGCCAGACTAGTAATGATCGGCGTCTGGGGGATGGGCTGGTGGCACCGAAACTGGCGGAGCACCCTATCAGGCTGGTGGGGTTCTGTGATGTTCCAGCAGAAGATCCACCCCTTGTACATCCAGAGATGTCGGTCTCGTGTACACTGGTCCGGGAGCCGACCCTTGTCTATGTACGTCTGATAGGGTACCCAATCGAACTAAACATTTATAGAATTATTAATGAATGTAATAAAAAAATAGAATTAAAAAATAACAATTATTTCTTATTATGACCTAAGAAACTTACATCAGTCTCTCTCAGGCCACTCAGCTGATCTCGGATGGTAGCCGTGCCCGTCCCCAGGTGCCTCATGTCCCTCGATCCCACCCACCTTAAAAATGACAGAAAAAAACTATTTGTAATTAAAAAAATTGATAATTGAAATAACTTAAGAGTTGAATATAAATAAATGGGGTATTATTACCTTGCACCCAAAGGACAACCAGGCTGAGAGCCGAAATGCGTATTTTTCATGATTGGGCGAACATGAGGGATGCGTTCCCATGCCCAAACCTGCGCATATGGACATGTACATTTTTTAGCACATATTATTGTAATTTAAAATAAATAAAATTAATATACAAACCACAAATAAATAAATTTACCTGAATCAACTGCACGCAGCTCTTGATATATTTTTCTTCCTTCTCGTAAGCTTCGCAGAGCGCTCTATATACCCCGGCCAGAAGCGCTCCACCCCAGCTATACCCCGGAATGGCATCAATGACATTCAATAGGGACAGCCAGTAGAGGTTGACTCCGTTGGCTCGATGAGAGGGGAAGAAGAAGGACCCAATACACCAGAGTATGAGGGCTCTCGCCCTCCCCTCGTACTCTGATGCAGGGAGTCCATCCTCCAGTGGTCACTTGCACTCGTCTTCTAGACTACTGAAAAACAGGAACTGGCCTGAAATGTCCCAAGTCTTGGGGTCGTAGTCCTGGTCCCCGACATTCTTGAAATACGTTTACATATATATATTAAAAACGACTCATGGCTTAAGTATACATAAACACAATAAAAAAAAAAAGCAAATAAAAGTTTTAGGTAAAAATATACCTGTACATATGGGAGGTACCCTAGAGCGTCCGCGCAAACGGCTCTCCACTCTTGGGGAGTTCTCTGTACGGTATGTCCCCAGCACTGTTCCCCGTTGAGGGGGAGGCCAAACAGTATCTGAACGTCCTGGAGAGTGATCGTGGCCTCCCCAAAGTCGAAGTGGAAGGTGTGCGTCTCTGGACGCCACCTCTCCAGCAGGCATGTAATGAGGCCGTTGTTTGTCGGGACCCGCCCCATCCGAAACACAGGCCCGAAGCCGGCCTTGTCGATCACCTCCCAGGTCCGGGCATTCTGCTTGTTGCCCTCCAAGGCAGCCCAGAACTGGGTGTCCGCACGACGTGGCTTAACCACGCCGTGGCGAAACCCCGGTGCGTCCTCATATACCGCCTTGGACCGGTGGCGGTTCTGAAGATATAGAAGTGACGGGTCATTGGGGCCGGGGTGTGGGGTGTAGGGTTGAGGGTTCGAGGATGACGATGCCATTTTCTGCAAAAATGACCGAGATTGTAATATATGTTAATTTTGAACTGATCGAGATTTATATATTATTTAATAAATATTCAATTATAAATTATATAATAATTTCTTATCAAATTATATTAATTCGATTGATTTATTCAATTATAATTTCTTATCAAATTATTCACTAAACTAGTATTCGACCTTGTGCATTTGCACAGATGTAAATAAAATTAAACATATAGTATTATAAGTTATATTTATGTATATAATATTAAAATTATAAATTATATAATAATATTATGTTTTAAAATTTGATCATTGGTTAAAATAAATTGTACACACGATTTTATTGCTTAGCTAGCAATTATATATATATAGATTCGACTCTTTGTTTTTGTATAATTTTAATTTCTTATCAAATTATTCAATTATAAATTCGATTGAAATTATTGACGAATTTCCCACATGTTCAGTTGAATTATGCTTGTGTTGCATATTGGTTTGTTGTGTACAGCGTAGCTGTTTCCACCTATTCTTCGATCGAGAGGATTTCAGGCATAATATTCCTAATTTCAAATATCTAACAATATTCATAATCGAGCATAGTATTCTAATTTCAAATCGAAGGTAATATTCGAGCATAATATCCACCAATATTCACAATCGAGCATAATATCCACCAATATTCACAATCGAGCATAATATTCTAATTTCAAATCGAGCATAATATTCTAATTTCAAATCGAAGATAATATTCGAGCATAATATCCATCAATATTCACAATCGAGTATAATATTCTAATTTCAAATCGAATATAATATTCGAGCATAATATCCACCAATATTCACAATCGAGCATAATATTCTAATTTCATATCGAGCATAATATTCTAATTTCAAATCGAAGATAATATTCGAGCATAATATACCACGTTAAATGCAGTTCGACAATAATTCAAAGTGACGGCAATCACTTTGATATCCAATTGCAAATACATATTGAATCGAAAAATGATACATAAAAGTTAACGTGACGGGGATCGAGCCTTGTACCGTTCTCGGGAATACAATCGAAAAACGAAAGCACAGAAGACGAGAGTTTGACAGGCTCGAGATTACGTCGCAGGCTCGCGCGGCGGCGGTCGGCGGCGGTCGGCGGACGACAGCAGCGGCGCGGTGGTCGGCGGGAGGCGAGGAGAGCGGTCAGCGGGAGGTGGGAGCAGTCGGCGGCGAGGACTCCTGCAGCGGCGGTCGGCGGTGGGATGTCGAGAGAGAGCAGCGGCGGATTTTCGGAACGAGGGATTCTCCTCTCGTCGCCGATTTTTTTTTTATATATATTAACTGAAACACGGATTCTGAGAATCCGTGTTATGCGTTGAAAAGTAAACACGGATTCTCAGAATCCGTGTTACGCGTTGAAAAGTAAACACGGATTCTCAGAATCCGTGTTTTAAAAAATATATATTAATATATCATATGTTATTTTATTTTATATACTATGTTAGTTACTATATGTTATACTATATGATATACTATATTATATGTTATATAACTTATTATACTAATTTGACTCCAATTTTACTAATTTGACTTCAATTGTACTAATTCGAGTTCGATTTCACTAATTCGAGTTCGATTTCACTAATTCGAGTTCGATTT